GTGGAAGTACTGACCTTACTTTGAGTTTGATTCCATAAAAAGTGACAAAAACATTAGTGTCCATTGTGCGTGGGAAGAAAACTTCTTTTTACAGCGAAAAAAAACCCTAAACTTCCAAGCAAGCACCGAGTGCACAACGACGTAATGGGAAACTCACAGAGAAACTCGTGGATTCTTCAACTGACCGCGGCACACCTGCACCAGGGTAAACCTCCGCCTACCCTAGTCCTGCTTTACAGGTGAAAATAGAGCAACAGGACCGCTGAGTCTTTGACTTTATTTATTTTCTGCTGTGTTTTACTTGCATCTATTTGAAAGAGCGAGTGTAAACACACAAACTATTTTATTTTATGTGCTGGAATGTGTAGAAAATAGGTTTCAATGTTAAACTAATTTATTCAAGTCAGAATGTTGCATATAATTAAATTTTTGCTTGATGCATAAAGTTAAAAGATTAAAACTGATAAAAACAAGTTAAAAAAAGAGACCTCTCCATTTGATTACATTTTGTATGATGGATTATGCAGAAAAAGTAGAATTGGGCTGAAAGATCTATCACTTTAATACCTATTCAGGTTGTAAATCGGGTTTTTAAAAAGTAACTAAGTAACTAAGTAACTAAGTAATTAATTACTTTGAAAATAAGTAATCAGTAAAGTAACGGGATTACTTTTTGGGGGAAGAAGTAATCAGTAATTAGTTACTGATTACTTTTTTCAAGTAACTTGACCAACACTGGTCTCCACACCTGCGGCAATTGAGCTCCCAGCATTTAAGATTAGCACTCAGCACTACTCTTTGCCAAGTGTTCTGCTAACCACAGTTAGTGCTGGCCGTGACAGCTTTTCCTTAAAGAGAGATTGTCATAGAAAGAAACTTACCTCGTGTTTTTCTCTGCAGCTGCTCAGCCGATTTCCACGCTACATCCCAGACAATACTCACCTTTTCTCCTGTCACTGGCCTTAGGCTTGGCAGCTCTGTTCTCCTCAGCTCTGGTCTGCTCAACTAACCTGCCCTCCAGCCGCCCTCATTGCATTCAACAGATTCTCTGCTCTTGGAACCCAGCCACCTCACCCGGAACTCCTACCTCCCCTGTCGCCAGTTCTCCACCTGCAAACTGTAAGGCAAACCTGCTTTGATAATAACTCCTCTGGATCGTATGGACTCAGCCACTAAATGCACTCTACTGTGCATTTAGTGGCTGTGTGTTGAGAATCCCGTGTTGAGAATCCCGCTTGCATTCCCTGAAGGCTGTGGCTTTCCTTCATGCCCCTGAGCTTAAGCCTCTGTAGTCAATTTAAGTTTGCTCATGTTCAATCCAATTATGTTTGCTTCTAATCATAGCTTCACGTTAAACTCAAAGACTTAAGAAATCTTTGTTCATAGTTGATGATCTAGTTGTCCTGGTAATGTAATTGTGTTTTGTTTCTAGTTATTGCTTTACATCACCTTTACAAATGTAGTAATTCTCAG